AGAAGAAAAAGTCATAATGGAAGAACAACAAAGACGGTAATAAATTTGGACAAAACACAACATCTGGAAACTAACTCCAAGAAAAGTTGCATGAGTTGTAATGCACATATGATGTGTGTATATATATATATATATATATATATGAAACTAGCTAGCACAGTAGTGTTGCAGTATATGAAAGGCCTATATATATATATGCTGCAGTATCTGGCTTCAGATCCAGAGTGATGTTACTGCAACTCCATTTTTTGTATATATAGAGCTCTCTTAAATCATATATCCAGATTTGCGTGTATATATATATATATATATGCTGCAATATCTGGCTTCAGATCCAGAGTGATGTTACTGCAACTCCATTTTTTGTATATATAGAGCTCTCTTAAATCATATATCCAGATTTGCGTGAAGCAGCTGGAGTTAATTAACATTAATTATCTACATCCAACAAATATAAAACGATTCCCAGTCCCAGCTTATGATGATACAACTATATATCTTTCTTTTCTCTCTCTCTCTCTCTCTCTTTTTTTTTTTTTTTTAAATTTTCTGTTAAAACCAAACTATAACTTAATTCCTTTATAATCAGATTATACACAAGTAACCTCAAACGAGAGAGAGATCTCAGCAAATACCACTCTAGATTCTGATATATATATATATATATGATTACTTTGCTCTTCCCATATACGGGAGAGATGTCTCATCAGATACCACTGTATGAATTCGTCTCTGCGCGAGAAATGCTTGATTATTCTTCAACGATTAATTACAGACGAGATGGCGTAACAAGAAGTTCATCAGCTTTCCACCTAATTACCATCCATTGTATATTTTACAAAATTAATGTAAAAATTGTATTTGATCATTCTTGATTTTAACGGTGAGATGTATTTTTGTCGGCGAAGATTCTTCCATTTTCCACAATGAAACTACTTGGAAGGATATAAGAAATGACACGTCGTCCAATCGACCTGCCTTGTGTAAATGTAAATGTAAATGT